TCTGTTACAGATGCCCATGCCATTGTATCTCTTACATGTATAATGCCTTTTTTTTTTTTTTTTTGAGATGGAGTTTCCCTCTTGTCACCCAAGCTGGAATGCAGTAGCATGATCTTGGCTCCTTGCAACCACTGCCTCTTAGGATCAAGTGATTCTCCTGCTTCAGCCTCCTGAATAGCTGGGATTACAGGCACTTGAAATCACTCCCAGCTAACTTTTGTATTTTTAGTAGAGATGAGGGTTTCATCACGTTGGCTAGGCTGGTCTTGAACTTCTGACTTCAGGTGATCCGCTCACCTAGGCCTCCCAAAATGCTGCAATTACAGGTGTGAGCCACCATGCCCGACCTACTGTATAATGCTTTTACATTTTTTAGCTGAGATAGGTAACATGATTTGCCTTAAGGCACTCTGTGTAAGATGATAGGACATGGTACCAGCACACACGTGTCTGGTCTCAGTGCAGTCCCTCATCCCAGCTCTGTTTGGTGTCAGCTTCCTTTATCCAAGGCACATAATATAAAACAGAGCCAGGCCGGGCGCGGTGGCTCAAGCCTGTAATCCCAGCACTTTGGGAGGCCGAGGCGGGTGGATTACGAGGTCAAGAGATCGAGACCATCCTGGTCAACATAGTGAAACCCCGTCTCTACTAAAACTACAAAAAATTAGCTGGGCATGGTGGCGCATGCCTGTAGTCCCAGCTACTCAGGAGGCTGAGGCAGGAGAATTGCCTGAACCCAGGAGGCGGAGGTTGCGGTGAGCCGAGATCGCGCCATTGCACTCCAGCCTGGGCAACAAGAGCGAAACTCCGTCTCAAAAAAAAAAAAGTCAACTTTTATTATGATTAACATATTTTATTTTTGAAAAAACAAATGTACTATTGGGTCAGGATTATATGGAAAACAATTCCGGTTTGGACACTTTCTACCTCTGGGAGCAGGGCTTTCCCCACATCAGGCACAGCAGCTGCACTAGTCCGACATCCCTTTGCAGACACATCCCTGGGCACACTTGGCACAGCCCATAGGGCAGCAGGAGCAGCAGCCTGGAGAAGAAGGGGAGAGTGACAGGTCACAGAAGACTTGACCAGGCACCTCCCTGCCCCAATAGCGGGCCTGGCCCAAGCTCACACCCAGACCTAGAGAAGGCTTAGTTCAGGATGGTGTGCTCCATCAGGAGACAATGCGTCAATTTTTGGAGTGAAAGTCTTCCTATTGTAATGACCTACCCTGGACTAGCATAACTGACTCCATTTTAGCTGTAAACGCCAACCTGGCTTCCCCCTCCTTATCACAGCCCCTTTGGATGCATAACTGGGTCATGCTGCACTTGGAAGCATTGAAGCGTACTGTTTTTAACACTTGTATCCTGCTTGGCATATCTCCCTCCACCCCCCATTGTAAGAAAAAAGCTTCCCTTTGATCATTGTGTAGAAGAAAGCTGATTGCCCCCTTCTTGGTAATTGCATGGAAACCACTTGTGCCTACAGACCTTCCTGTAACCTGCTTTTCTGCCTCTGTAAAATTCCACTTCAGCTAGGTACTCCCCTCTCCTACCTAAATCAAGGTATAGAAGATAATCAGGCCCCTTCCTTGGGGCCGAGAGAGAATTTTGAGTGTTAGCCTTCTCGGTCGCTGGCTAATTAATAAAGGACTCTTAATGTGGAACTCAGAGCGTGGCGCGTTCCTTCTAACTCGCTCGGTTACAACACTATAAAAAAGACGCTCCACCCCACCTGAGCCCAGGACAGGGCAGAAGACCGGACAGGCAGTGACTGGGGTCTGTGGGGACAAAGGAAGGCCAATTCCCCAGGTCCATACACTTCTGTGAGGAAAGTCCTCAAGTATCAGGTCTGTGCTTGGCCAGCTGGTGCATTCTCGTGCCCTCAGTTTCTGCATTGTAAGAATGAAGGTTGGGTGGGGATCAACCATCTCTAATGTTCTTCCAGCTCTGATCCTGAATCCGTTTCAGGGGATGTGGGAAGCTGGTGATTGGCTTGCTCCTGCCTGTGGACATCTGAAATCCCTCCTCTGACTCTGCCCAGCCCCCAGATTCCCATGGAAGGCCCCACGCTCACACTTCTTGCAGGAGGTGCATGTGCACGCTTTGCATTTGCAGGAGCTGGCACAGGTGCAGGAGTCACCAGCAACGAAGAAAAAGGCAGTGAATGGTGAGTATGGTGCAGGGTTAGGAGCAGGCCCTCAGCAGGCCCCTGCTCAATGCACAGGAAACCTGGTACCTTGTTCCACGCAGGCACACAGAAGCCCAGCCTCCATTTTCTCCCCCACAGGCTCAGATGGGCAGGTGCACTCTTAATTTTACTACACAGGACCTTATGTCAGTAATCCCTAAGAGGCAATGCTCCCTGCCTCCCATCCACCTCAGGCAGTTCTAATGCTGGTCCTTTGTCCCAGCCCAGGACCCCACTGGCTATCAAGGTGGCCTGGCAGTTTTGAGTCTTGGTCCTCTCGCCTCAGAAATGGGAGGCACTGGGAAGATGGTCTAAGTGGTGATGAAGGCGCTTGACGGGGGAAGCACCAGAAGTGCAAAGTAAAGGTGTCCACTTTGGAAGAGCTAACATGCACCTCCCTCCTGCCCCAGGGACATTCTGTTCTCTGGCATGAAAACGGAGATCGTAGATCCCGAAACGCGGCATCTCTTACTACTGGAGCAGGAGCAGTTGGGGTCCATTTCGAGGGGAGACGAAACTGGAGTTCCTAAGCAAGAGGCGAAGACGCTGTGGGGCAGTTGGGAGGCGTGGTCAATTCTAAGAACAGCGCGCGCTCAATTCACAGTCAGAGGAGGGGGCCGTGTGCAGAGCACTCCTCCCGACCCCCACGCGGAATCCGCAGCTCCAGGTGTCCTGGCTTGGGCTGTGCGCAGTAGGCGGGCCGGGCGCACCATCCCCTGAGTGTCCCAGGGTGGGCCCCCGGGGGCCGCCCCTTTGGCGCCCCGCTCGCGTGGGAGGGGCTGTGCTGCGCTCCTGCCACCCTGAGGGCCATTTCCCATTCCCATTCCCAGGTGGTCGCGCCACCCACCCACTCCCCTCCCCCCAGTCCTCCTCTCGCTACGGCCCCGCTTCGCCTTCCGGGTCCGTGTGCAGCTCCATTCTCGTGCTCACCTTCTGCTTAGGCGGGAGCCAGGAGCAGACCTAGCGAGCTGTGTGCAGATGAGCGGCGGCGGAGGTGACGTTTGCTTTTCCCCCGCCCTGCCCCCGCATTGTCTGTCACTCTTCCCACTTAGGACCCTCAAACTCTTTCCGCCTGAACACAGAACGCGGCGACCACACGTCGGGCCCTCTCTCTTCCTTCCATGCTCCTCGGAGGTGATCGCGGGCACATTTGTCCGGGTCCTTCTTTGCATATGATTCTCCGGACTACCCCAGGCCTGCCTGCCTCCCCACTGCAGGATGGCAGTTTTGAAAATGAGGGATGCTCTCCAAAGAGGATGACTTTAGGTGACATGCAGACCCTGCTTTCAATCAAGATCAAGGAGAGAAGTGGGTATTTCTCCTCAATGTTTTATCATGTGACATTTAGATTGTGCTAGGCCTTTTAAAATCATTAATTCCCTGAACACTCCCAACAATCCTAAAGGGAAATACTATTTATGAACCCATTTTACTCATCTGACAACAGTGACAAAAGGTTTAAGTAACTTGCTCAACATCACAGAGCTGAAAACTTGCACTGATTTGAATCTAGCCAGCCTCTCAAGAGAAAGTGTCCGTGATCAAGCCTTGCTTTGGCACAGGTATGTCGTTAGCCCTTCTCTATTGCTGGAAATCTTTTAAACAATGTCGAGCCACAAGCTCAACCATGGGCTGTGACAAAAGAAATCCATATGTGTAATATATGTATCTACATATGTGTACACAAAACATACATTTCTAGTCTTTCTTTTTTTTGTCTGAGACAGAATCTTGCTCTCGCCCAGGCTGGAGTGCAGTGCTGCACATCAAACAGCATTCCCTCCACAAATGGAGGGACTAACGTGCCATTATCAAGACATCCAGGAACTTTTTCCTTCCTAAACCATGCTCAGCAACCTGCACAGTTTGCCATAGCTGTGTTCTGAGAACTTCTGTAAATAAAGTATTATTAATTATGGAGATGATGAAATCAAAAGCAAAATTCCAAAACAACCTTATCTGCAACCCACAATCACACTGCATCTTGCCGAGAGCATGCTGGTTTGAAGTAGTCAAGGGCTGGAATTTGTAAGAGGAAGAAACAGCCTGACCTTGGGAGAAACTTGCAAAGATTCAGAGCCAAGTCCCAACAGGGAGCTCTCAGGGTTCAGAGAGTGTCCTGAGTGTGCTGTCTGTGACACTGGGTAGGCCAAGCCTGGTGGCTCCTCATGAGAATGTCCCGGCCTGTGCTGCTGAAGGTGTGTGGTCCCCAGTGGGGCCAGTCTGCTGTTTCCAGTCTTCAATGCAAATCACGTGCAGAGTTTGTAAATCTTCAATTTCTCTATTATTTCCATACATATTTATTGATTTTTTCTGGTAAAATGTAAAAAAATGGGTTCTGTATTTTGTGTTTCATTATCTCCATAATTGATACTACTTTATTTACAAAGGTTTAGGTCTGGGATGGATAAACAATAAAAACTGTCCCATTACCATGGAGTTTGAGAAGCCTTGTGTAGGATTCAAGCAACTGAGGCTTCGAATCAACGTCCTATGGTCACTTTTAAGACTAAAATCTGATGACAAACTAAACTTGGGCAGGGAAATCCGAGAATAAAAATGAGGAATGGAGAAGGCTGTGTGCAACACTTAGCATGATTGGAGGTGATCGTGTATGTCACGTCCCCATGTGACCCGGCAGAGTGCAGGGGCATTTTACAGAAGATGTAGCTCAGTGAGTTAACCAGGCTTGCCTGAAGGCTCTCTGACTGTTAGGGGCTCACATTTCCATCTAGAGCCCAGTCTCTAAACTCCCAGTTCAATTCCCCACCCCAATCCCTTATTGCAAAAAACAGAATGAGAACCAGAACCAGATTGAAGCCTAAGTGTTTAATTATTATTCACATATTTCAGAGAAACAGGAATGTAGCAATGGGTCGGGGTTGTAGAAAAAAAAAATCCTGGATTTTTTGTGTCACTCTATTTATATCTGGGAGCAGGGCCGTCCAGACGTCAGGCGCAGCAGCTGCACCTCTCCGATGCCCCTTTGCAGACGCAGCCCTGGGCACACTTGGCACAGCCCACGGGGCAGCAGGAGCAGCAGCCTGGGGAGAAAGGTGAGAGGGAGAGGTCAGAGCAGACTTGGCCAGGGACCATCCTACCCCATCAGAGGTTTGGCTTGACCCCTGCCTCCAGTGCCAGAAGATGTTAGTTCAGGATGGCATGGCTTTGTCAGGAGACAACTGGTGGATGTTGGGGTGGGTCTTTCTATGAGAAAGCTGCCCAACCCCACAGGAGCCCTGGACAGGGCAGAAGACTGGAAAAGCAGTGGCGGCCTGCAGGGACAAAGAAAGGCCAATCCCCCAGAAGCATGCTCTCAGGGCCAGCCTCGGGCTCCCTCCCAACCTTAGCCACAGCCCCAGATTCCTGGAGATGGCCCCACACTCACTCTTCTTGCAGGAGGTGCATTTGCACTCTTTGCACTTGCAGGAGCCTGCACAGGCGCAGGAGCCACCTGCAAGGAAGAGAAAAAGGCATTGAGCGCTGAGTGGGATGCAGAAGGTATAGCAGTGGGTCAGTGAGTCTCCAGTGCCTCCTCCTGTGTGTGCAGGGGCAGCCCGCACAGCTCCTTTCTCACTCAGCAGAGGAAGAGAAACCCGCTGTCCTCTCCCTTCATGCTGGGGAGAGCAAGTACCCTCCTATTTGCACTCCGGAGGAAAGTCCCAGGCTCCAGGCACAGCTTGGGAAGACTGTGACTTCGACTTTCTGTCCTGAACCCCAAAGCGGCAATGTCCCCTGCCTCCTATCTAAAGCCGCTGCTCAGAGCCTGGTTAGAGGATTAGGGCTTAGCCAACAGCCCGTGACCAAGGGGATGATGTGGAGCAGGACAGCCTTGAGCCTCAGGACCCTCAACTCTGACACAGAAGCATAGGCAGGAGGAAAATGCATTTAGGAGCCTGGCCAAGAGGAGAGCCCTGGACGAAGTAAAGAAGTCTCCTACAGCGCAGATCGCAAAATGCAACCTCCTCAAACCCAGGAACTCTACGGTGCCTGGGAATTTGGCATCCCAAGGCACAGAACCCGGGCGTCCTTTACCAGCGGCACAGGAGCAGTTGGGGTCCATAGCAAGCCGACGTGAGACTGGAGTTCCCAAGCTAGAAGCGAAGAGACAGCGGAGCTCGTGGAAGGCCTGGTGGAGCGCGACAGTTGGCGGGTGTATTTATAGTCAGGGGAGGGAGCCGGGAGCAGAGACCCCGCCCTGCCCTTGCACCCGACCCACTCTGTCTGTGCGGCCCAGGATCCTTGGCTGGAGTGTGCGCAGCAAATAGGTCGAGCGCAAAGTAGCCTGAGAGCAGCTCAGTGTACACCGCGGGGCCGCCCCTTTCCCACCTGCTCACGCGGGAGACGCTGTGCACCCGGGTGAGCTGCTTCTCTCATCTGCCAGGCCTTCCTAGTTCCTTGAGATTACCTGCTAGTCCCCCGCTTGGCGTTCCGCCTGAGCCAAGATCCTGACCTTCGCCCCACACCCTCCGGTCTGCCCGGGTTCCATGTCAACAGCTAAGCCTTTCCTGAAGTCCGAGTGCAACCCCAGTCTCGTGCTTAACTGTCTGGATTGGCGGGAGCGGGGAGCACAGCAAGACATTGTGTGCAAAGGACAGGCTGAGGATGTGACCTTCGGATCTCTGGCTTTGCCTGTCCCTGTCCCCTTTGCCATGTCAGTCCTTTGGCCGCGTTTCTCCTGTGCCCAGCAACACGGAAGAAACAGGGTCCTGCCTCCCTTCCTTCCATTCTCCACACTTGAGAGTCTGAATGGGCACATTTGTCTGAGTCCTCCTTTTGCATAAATCACTTCAGGGTCTCCCCACAGCCTAGTCATTTTCCATGTATGAACTCTCCTAGACCCCAACAGCCGGCCACTGCTTTTGTAGTCAGGGAAGGGGGCTGGGCTCAGAGGACCCCGGCCTGCCCTTGCACCCGCCTGGCTAGTCAGCGCCCCCATAGGTCCTACTCTGGGCTGTGCACAGCAGACAGGCCGGGCAAAAGGTCCCCTGAGGGCAGCTCGGTGTGTGAGTGGGAGACCCCGCAAGTGCTGAGACAAGGGTATGAAGCCTCAGCCAGACTGGGGTGCAATGGTGCAATCATGGCACACTGCAGCCTCCAATTCCTTAGCTAGATGGAAGCTCCTGCCTTAGCCTCCAAGTAGCTAGGACTACAGACTTGCACCACCACACCTTGCTAAGCATTTATTTTATTTAGAGACAGATGTCTCCCTATGTTCCCAAGGTTGGTCTCAAACTCTTGGTGTCAAGTGATCCTTTCATTTGAGCCTCTCAAAGCACGGGGATTATAGGTGTGAGTCACCCTACTCGGCCTAGTTTTGTATTTTGTGTTTGATCTCATGATTTCCATTATTAATATTATTTCATTTACCAAGGTTTAGGTGTGGAATGGATAGGAATTAAAAACCCCTCCTTGGCCGGGCGCGGTGGCTCACGCCTGTAATCCTAGCACTTTGGGAGGCTGAGGCGGGTGGATCACGAGGTCAAGAGATTGAGACCATTCTGGTCAACATGGTGAAACCCCGTCTCTACTAAAAATACAAAAAATCAGCTGGGCCTGGTGGTGCGTGCCTGTAATCCCAGCTACTCAGGAGGCTGAGGCAGGAGAATTGCCTGAACCCAGGAGGCGGAGGTTGCAGTGAGCCGAGATCGTGCCATTGCACTCCAGCCTGGGTAACAAGAGCGAAACTCTGTCTCAAAAAAAAAAAATAAAAATAATAAATAAATAAATAAATAAAAACCCCTTCTTCACAGAGGAGTTTGAAAAGCCCCGTGTAGGATTAAAATAACTAAGGAGTTTGATTCCATCCCCTGTAGTCACTTTTGAACCTGAAATCCAAAGAGGAATTGAAGTTGGACAGAGAAATCAGAGAAGGAACAGGAGGCAATGAGAAGTTTCTGTGCCAAGTTTGAGAATGAAGATGGTCCTGTATCCCGGATTTCCACCAATGACCTGACGCAGGGATATTCCGTTCTACAGAAGATGAAGCATAGTGAGGCAGCCTCGCTTGCCTTAAGGCTCTCGGATTGTTAGGGGCTCACATTTTCATCTGGAGTCCGGGAGTCTTCACCCCCAGTACAATCCTCCACCCCAGTGTCTGATTTCCAAAGCACACAAGAGAAGCTGAAGTCAGAATCAGGTCTAAAGTGTTTTATTATCATTCACATGTTCCATAGGAAAAGGAATTTAGCAAATGGGTTACAGTGGCATAAAAAAAATCCAGATTTGTAAATATGACTGTTTACATTTGGGAGCAAGGCTGTCCTGGCATTAGACACAGCAGCTGCACTTCTCTGATGTCCCTTTGCAGACACAGCCCTGGGCACACTTGGCACAACCCATGGGGCAGCAGGAGCAGCCGCCTGAGGAAGAAGGGGAGAGTGAGAGGTCACAGCAGACTTGACCAGGGACCTTCCTGCCCAACAGAGGCCAGGCTGGAGCCTCCAGCCCCACAAGACCCTTAGTTCAGGATGACATGGCTTTGTCAGGAGACAACTGGGGGATATTTTGGGTGGGTCTTCCAGTGAGAAAGCTGCCCAGATCCACAGGCACCCTGGACAGGGCAGATGACTGGAAAGGCAGTGACAGCCTATGGGGACAAAGGAAGGCCAGTCCCCCAGAAGCATGCACTCAGGGTCAGCCTTGGGCTCCCTCCCAAACTTAGACACAGCCCCAGATTCAAAGAAAAACTTAAGGCTGGGCACGGTGGCTCACACCAGTAGTGCCAGCAATTTGGGATGCCGACATGGGCAGATCACCACAGGCCAGAAGTTCAAGACCAGCCTGGCCAACATGGCAAAACCCTGTCTCTATTAAGAATACAAAAATTAGGCGGGCATTGTGGCACAAGCCTGTAATCCCAGCTGCTTGGGAGCTTGAGGCAGGAAAATCCCTTGAACTTGGGAGGTGGAGATTGCAGTGAGTCAAAATTGCACCACTGTGTTCCAGCCTGGGTGACAGAGAGAGACTTTGTCTCAAAATAATAATAATAATAATAATGGCAAGTCACCAACTCAACCATGGACAATGACAAAGGCAATCCATAAGTATAATAAGCATGTGTGTGTGTGTGTGTGTGTGTGTGTGTGTGTGTACACCCACACATACATACATACAAATGCACATATATATGCCTTTCTGGCTATCTTCTACATATGGATAAGACTGATTTTCTTTTTTGGTGGTGGAAGAGAATTTGCTTTTCATAAAAATATATTTAAGAAAAGTTTAGTGATTTCAATGTGAAATGATAGATAAAATGTGCATGTGGCAGCAGAAATGGCAGTCATTCTATATCTACATGAGGCGCAGCATCTCGCTCATAGCTTTATAACCCTGTATTGATGACATATTTGTGGGAACAGCGAATGGCTCTCTTTGGGCCGCAGGACCCATGTTTGAGTGGTAGATGACCATGACAGCATACACAGCTAGGCGCTCCAGGCCTGGCTGCTTTGTTCATGAATAAACTAATGCCCTCTATGCTATGTGTAATGATTTTTTTAAAAAAGCAATAGCTAATGGTACAGACTACTCACCACTTGCCAGGCATCATTCCAAGTTTCTTACATGTGTTAAACTGTTTAATCCTACAAGCTAGATGCCATTATTATGCACCTTTTACAGGGGAAGAGACTGAGCCACAGAGAGGTCGTGAAGCACAGCTAAGTGGCAGAGGTGGGATTTCCACTCACGCATGCTGATGGCAGCATCATGCCCTCACCCAACACTCTATGCCACCAAGTCGCAATGAAGATGAGGACAAGGAAAATCTGGCCCCGAGGCAGCAGTGGGAAGCAAGTTCAGCTGGCAGTCATTGTCCCGGTGCACAGCTCTGTGACCTCTCCGGGCTTCAGTTCTCATCTCTCACGCCCAGTGCAAAATCGGTCTATCCCGAAGCATCCTTCTAGATTTGAACCAGGATAGGCAGAGTTTAGCATCTAGTGATGAGCCGATCACCATCTACCAGCTGTGACCAGGACAACAGGCCAGGGTAGCAGAGGTTCATTCATCCCTTTACGTGGCCTTAGGCAGGTTGATTAACTACTCTGGAAGACAACACAGGCACTCCAGGCCCTGCATATTTGCTGTCCTAGTTCTGAGGCCTGTGGCTCTCATTCCCAAGGTTGTGTGAAGATCCAATGATGTGAAGGGTGAGAAAGGCTGTCTGTACAAATGCCAAGCAGCAGCATCTTATCCAACATCAATTCCTCCTGGCAGGATCACCAGGCTGCAGTCTCCTTCCCAGCATCTAATCCAGAGTCATGCTTCCAAACCCATGAGGCTTTCTCCAGGAGGTTGTTGGGATTTAACAGAATTTGTCTGTCTAAGAAAGTAGAGGCCCCGTCCTGGCCCTTGCACCCACCCAGCTGCATCTGCACTGCCCGTGGTCCTTGGCTGGGCCGTGAGCAGTGACCTGGTCTTCAGGTCTGTCATCACCTTCACCTTCCCTGGGTACCATGTGCAACCCCAGCCTCATGTTTAACTTTCAGGATCAGCAGTAGTGGGAGCATATGGAGAGAGTTGTGTGCAAAGGACTGGTGGAGGCTGTGACCTTTGGATTTCCAGCCTCACCTGAGTCTGTCCCCACCTCGGTCCTTCAGCCACATTTCTCCTGTGCACAGCAACAGGACAGACACAGGGCTCTGTCTCCCTCCCTTCCATTCTCCACTCTTGAGAGGCTAAATGGGCACGTTTGTCCTGGTCCTCCTTTGCGTAAATCTCTCCAGGGTCTCCCCACAGCCTAGCCGGGCGACCCACTACAGAATGGCAGTTTGGAAAATGTGGGATGTCCCCAGAAAAGGGATCATGCAGATTCTGTCTTCAATTAGAAAGCAATTTCCTTCCATATTCCTGTTACGCTATGTAACATTAATCCGTGTTAGGCCCTGTTTAGTCACTTTCCATCTTTGAACCCTCACAGCAATCGAAAAGGGACATACATTCTATTTATAAACCCATATCCTAATCTGGACAGTGACAATATAAGGAGATCAAGCCACTAGCCCAGGGTCAGAGGGCTGGGAAGTGGCACTGCTAGGTCTGAATCCTCTCAGCTTCCCACGGGAGAGAGGGCAGTGGTGAAGCTTCCCTTTGGTCTAGGTATGTTCATCTCTTATGGCTTTAGATCTCTAAACAAAATCAAACATCAAGGTCAGTCCTGGAAGCAAAACAGAGATGCAGAGGGGATATGAATAGGGAGAATTTGATGGCAACATTCTGTGTCTGGAAGTTAAACTGATTCTTTTTTCAGCAGTGCTAATGTGTTTGCTTTTCATGTAAATATATCTAAGAAAATAGAATCATTTAAAAGAAAAATGTTGCATCA